TCCGCAGGCAATGGTGTGAAGTAGCAGGAGTCTGGACACAGATCTCAGTGAGTGGTGACCGGTGCAGTGGCCTGCCTAGACACGAAGTGTCTACAATAAGTGAGTGACTATGAGAAGGAAAAGGAAGGGCAGGCGCTAAGAAGAAATTGGAAATGGGTAGAGGGCCATGAAGAGAAGGTACTGGACAAAAGGAGGCACACCTCAATTCTAGAAGGGAAGGGACGGACAAAAGGCCAGAAAGGTTTCCTGGACAGGGGCAGCAAGTGTCTATATACAGCTACACTCTGTCAGAATATCACAGACTGAGTGAGTTGTAAAGAACAAAGGTTGATTTAGCTCATTTAGCTCTGGATGCTGGGAGGTTGTAGAGTGTGGTACTGGCGAGGGCCTTTTAACCTAACAGAGAGGACACCTAACAGAGGGCAAGACAGAGCCAGTGTGCTAGCCTAGAACTCTTGTTCGTATAAAGCCACTACTGCCATCACAGGTGCCTGAACCCTGTGATGTCACCTAGCCATAGCTAACATCTCAGAAACACTGCCACATGCAAAATTGGGGATTACATTTCCAACATGTGATTTTGAGGGAGACAGGTTCAAACTCTTAAAGGAGTATTCTTGAAAAGGCTGAGATTGACAGGAGAAAGAAGAGTAGCCTTATAATGCCTAAAGATATAAAAAGGAGGAGGAAGAAGAGGAGGAGGAAGAGGAAAAGGAGAAGAAATACTGCTACTACTACTACTAATAATAATGATAAAAGGGGTCCCAGACAGTTCACTACAAATTGTAGGCATGTAATAAATGTGTGATGAATACTTAGATGATGTGTAAATAGAAAAAGCGTTAGGCATAGAAGTTGGAGTGTGAGCTTTATCCAGATCTTCTGCTAATTGTGCCCTTTTGAGCCTCGGTCTTCCCACCTGTGAAGTGGGCCTAATAATATATCTTTGTAGAGCTACTATGAAGAACAGACACAGTCATCCTATAAGGCCCTTGGCTCTGTGCCTCATAGATAAAAGCACTCAGTGAGCACTGGACCTGATGGTGGCTCTGAGCCACAGTGTCCAGCCAGGTAACTATGCTGTTAGGATTTGGAGTTGTGAGCTCTGCAAAGCAGCCTTAGACTGAGCTGACAAAACTAGAGCAACTCCAGGGTTTTCCCCACTCGCGCCTCAACTCCCTCTTCCACAAAACAAACCCAGTAGGGTTCTTCTTGTTGGAGTCTAAGCTGCTGCCCTCAGCCCTCAGTGCTCTCATCCTAATATGTCAAAAGTTGGCATCCAAAGACAACTTTTGCAATTCCTCACCTGACACACATCGATGAACCTTGTTGGCTGATTGTGAAACGGCTCAACAGTAGAAAATCGGCATTGGACTCTCTCTATGAAAAGAAAAAAAAGAATTAGTTTCCATGTGAAATTAAAGGGAGTTACATAGATGAACAAAAGCCTTTCTTGGATAAATATGACTATGGCTATGCCAACTAGTCTAATAACATGCGGGACTGGAGAAATCTTTGACTCTCTAAAAGTAATTGCAGGACTAGAAAGGTGTCTGGCTCAGTGGTGGAGCGCTTGCCTTGCATGCCGGAGGCCCTGGGTTCAATTCCTCAGCACCACATAAGCAAAAAGAAAAAAGCCGAAAGTGGCGCTGTGGCTCAAGTGGTAGAGCGCTAGCCTTGAGCTGAAGAGATGAGGGACAGTGCCCAGGCCCAGAGTTCAGGCCCCACGACCGGACCCCCCCCAAAAAAGTAAATAATAAAAAAAAGTAATTGCAAAGGATTCAAATTATCTTGAGCCTGTGTAGAAAACCATTTACATTCTAATTGAAGCCACTAAAAGCAAGTGGAGAGACTGACTCACCAAAGTATACTTTGTAAATATGCGATCATGGATGGTAGAATGGAGAAGCCAGCCTTTCCAGGTATTAGAAATGAAGGCTTTGAAATCTGTCTGATTTGCTGCAGAAATCAAAGACACCCACCTGTTCCTTCAGTTCCTCCAGTTCCTCTCACAGGAAGCTCTTGGACTTTCTCTGACCTTAAAGATAAATAAAAGTTACAAATACAGTCATTTATAGTGCAGTAATCATAATAGTTGACATTTGCTACATTCTTTTCCATACTTTGTAACTAAGTACCTTCTTTTTATTTCCAGAGAAGGGTTTGGTGAGGGAGGAGTCCCCCTTCTGGAAGCTCTGTAACTTTCTCCAGGACTTAGCTAACAAGGCCATTGAACCATATAGGCGTCTTGGCTCCATGACCTGGGATTGTTAAAGTCCACCAAAGACTCTACATACCCACATTGAGTCAAACAAGATTGGGTTTCTTTAACTCCTGGAGCAAGAAGCCATTGGGAGAAGTAATGGACTCAGCATTGAGCTGGGCTTCTCCCTGCCTGGTGATTCCGATAAGGATTGAACAACACAAGTGTCAATTTAAAAACTGGAATGACTCATATCTGAGTTATTTTGCATATAGGACTTTTAATTACTTTGTGATATGGAGGATTCTCATGTTTGTCTTCTTTCAAATTTGATTAAAGATTATTTCTACCCTGTCCCTCTGTGCTTGTATTGGCCTTGTCTGATCATTGCTGCTTTTTTTTCTATTATTGATTAGACTATTGATATTCAAATACAATGGCCTAGTAATTAACTCTTAGAGATAGGAACATTTTTTTCCCTTGCTAGTACTAGGGCTTAAACTCAGTAGCTTTTTGGTGATTCATTGGAGATAAGAATCTCATAGATAGCCAGGCTCCTGTGGCTCACACCTGTCATCTTAGGTACTCAGGAGGCTGAGATCTGAGGATCGCAGTTCAAAGCCAGCCCTGGCAGGAAAGGCCATGAGACTCTTATCTCCAATTAACCACCAGAAAACTGGAAGTAGCGCTGTGGCTTAAGTGGTAGAGTGTTCACCTTGAGCTGAAGAGCACAGGGACTGCTCCCAAGCCCAGAGTTCAAGCCCTACAACCGACCAAAAAAAAATTTCATGGACTTTCCTTCCTTAATTGACTTCAAACAATGATCCTAATTTTAGCCTCCTGAGTAACTAGGATTATCAACAGGAGCCACTGGCGATTAGCAGATCTCAGCTTTTCGAGTAGCTAGGTGTAAGCCACCAGTACCTGACTAGGAAAACCCTTTCTTTCCTTGCATTTTCTTTTATCCAAGTATGATTTGGATATTTAGAACATCATTTGTCAGCCATATAAAATCAGTACAAGCAGACGGCCATAGGCAGTTGATGAGATGCATACGTATCTGGTCAGTGATGTACCAGATGACTCTAGTCATAGGGTCTGGGAGCCAGATGTTTCTCACCCCTGTTAAATGTTCTGCCCCTGTTAGATGCTCTGCCCCTCTTCTTGGTGTTATCTTTATATTTATTCTCCCTTCTCTCTTCTCCCTCCATTATTTCTTCTGAAAATAATCATTAGATCCCAGTTCTCACTCAAAGTGAGGGATGCTAGCATAGAAAAGGTTTTAAGATAAATACAGACCCCCTCTGGAATTCTAACTGAGCCACAAACAGCTACTTAACTTGAGACAAATAACTTCATCCTTTCTTCTCCCCTATTTTTCCTCATCTTTAAATAATAGAAATGGCAATTACTTTACAGAGTATTGGGGAAATTATGAATAATTTCTACAAAGTACTTGAAATGTATAATCAGATTGCAGATAGTGACCACTATCCAAAAAGCATAACCATTTATCAAGTGCTGATTTGCTTATATTTTATGATTCTAACAGCAGTGGAAAGAACTTTTATTTAATTAACTGTGAAATTATACAAGTTCTGGGAAGAGCCAGACTTCCTGAATGTAATTTTGGATGTTATATGTTGGAACTTCCTATAGTGTGTGTGTGTGGGTGTGTATGTGAGAGAGAGGTGGGGATTGAACTAAGGCCCTGAGCACTGTCCCTGAGCTGTTGTGTTCAAGGCTAGCATTCTACCACTTGCCACAGCTCCACATCTGGCTGTTGGGTAGTTAATTGAATTAAGATTCTCATGGATGTTCCTCCCTGGGTTGGCTTCAAACCTTCAAACCTCAGATCTCAGCCTCCTAAGTAGCTAGGAACTACCAGCGAACCACTAAGTGAGCCACCAGTGCCAGGCTATAGTTACTTTTTTTGTACATTTATTTAAAATGAAGTATTAAATTAGTAACAATGTGCCATGTATCTAATTAATGAAAAATATGAGATCACCTTAAGGCCTTTTATGCTAGTGGAAAGTACACACTGAAAGAGTGTGTTTTTCCTCCAGAAAAAAATGTCTTATAAAACATTTCTACTGCCATGTACCAGTGGCTGATGGCCTGTCATACTAACAACTCAGGAGGCTGAGATCTGAGGGTTACAGTTCAAAGCCAGCCTGGGCAGGAAAGTCCCTGAGACTCCTATCTTTAACTAACCACCAAAAAGCCACACACCTGTTGGGATTTGCTTCTTATAAAAGGCCAAAATTATGGTTGAATTGTGAGGAATATATACTTTAAGTGGATCTGATTTATGGAATGGTTTGTGTTTTCAGTTTGTATTTTCCTAAGTTTTCTGTAGAAATACATGTTCATGCTCTACAAACAAAAACCTTAGTCTTCTAAAACATTCTGCTTTTTCAGAAATTGCTGGAATTCTCAGCCATTGTAGCCAAACACTTAGTCTTGAGTGTGTATGTGCTGGCATGTGCTTGTACACCTATTCATATACACACGTCTCCCAGGACATCCTAATGCATATGCTAGACACTGAATAGTATTTGAAATTCAAGTTCAAAATTACTGAAGCATGTGAACTATGAAAACGGGCATGGCCCACCACAGGTGGCTAGAATGTAGCTGAGATATAATCTAGTCTTTTTATTGTATCTGTTTGTTTTATGTGAGCATTAGTAACTATTCTTGCAAAAGATACAAGTAAGCACCCTGCAGATGCAATAGAGTTCTTAGAAATGTCTCACATTTTGTGTTTCCCCTTTTTCACTCCTATCCTTAGAAGTCTGGCCTTCATTTTCGACACACAGACAACACAGTCCAGTGGTTACGAGCCATGGAGTCCATCGGTCTACCCAAGGTAAGCCTTCATGTACCAGCTCCTAAACTGGGGAGAAAGAAGGTAGTTCATGGAAACCTTACTATGAAAAGAGGTTTGGTACACTAAGCTTTGCTAATGGAGGAATGAGAACTAGGGAACTAAAGAAAGCTCTGAAAGGGACACAAAGAAACACATGACAAAAACTCAGAAAGGGATGGGCAAAGCTTGAAACAGACTGGCCAGACTGTAGATGCAAAACAAGGTCAGAACAAGCTTTAGCAAGTAGATAATTGAGTTGGTCAGTGCTCCTTGTTGGGTTGTTGTTTATACTTGAAATTACAAAGTCTCATTGTATCACCGCTATTGAATCACTATTCTAAGTTATTACTATAAAATCATACTATCACTTTAAAATTTAAAGATGTCTGGATTGTAGCTCTTACTCCTGAAATAGATCTCCCAAGTAAAGTTCATTCGGTACACCCAGTGCTTGTTAAAGTCAAAGGAAATGAGGAAATTACATTTGATAGGAATGGCAGAGCTATTTCTTAAGCCCATTTCGAAAGGATTATAGAATCACAGGAAGTTACAAAAATAGTGCATATGTGTGACTGCTTCCCTTGGCATCCCTCCACCCATAGTGCCTCTGATAACTGAGGTACAATACTAAATTGACATTGGGCAGATGATGGACACTAGACTACAGACCTTACTAGGTTTTTACCAATTGTAGATCTATTTGTTTGTGATTACTGAGTGTGTAGGTTTGTGTCGTTGTATCCCACAAATGAATTGGTGTAGCCACTACCACAATCAAGAACTGTAGCGACCAGAGAGAGAAGTGGTCGTTTTCTTTTTGTGCCAGTACTGTGGCCTGAACTCAAGGCCTCAAGATTTTGCTTGGCTTTTTCACTTCTGGATTTTTGCTGGATAGTTAGAGGTAAGAATCTCATACATTGGTCTGCCTAAGGCTGGTTTAAACTGATTCTCATGTCTCAGCCTCTTGAGTAGCTAGGATAATAAGTGTGAGCCCCAGGCACTCAGCTGAGAAGTGGTCTTTATACTGAATCCTTCCCTAACCCTATCACTGGCAGTTGGCCCTCTTAAGTCTTTTAAGTGGGTTTTAAACTGTTTATGCTATGTATGCTTTTGTTTTCACACATACATTAAATAAAACAAAAATTAGAGACACTATATAGAGAAGTATATAATAATATACTCTCCATTGTTGTAGTTTTGTTATTTTGAGAGTACTATGTATGTGATTGCCCTGAGTCCCTTCATTTATCAGTACTAAGTATTTAGCTTGCGCTCAACCTTAGGTTAGGTGCTAGAGATACAATGTTGAATAAAATAGCCTGATCCATCTCTTTGTGGGAAGAAAGACATACTGATGAAGATTTCTCAAGACAAGTCTAAATAGGGAAGATTCCTGTTTGAAGAACAGGGGTTGGGGAGAATTGTCCTATAGTACAATAAGGTCTGAGGTGAGATTACAGGTGTTCTCTGCTTACACAGATCTTTAAACGGGGATGCCTTGTCTCACTCACATGTTGACAGCAAATGTGTGCAAAGGGAAGCAGAAAAGCCCTGTGAAACGACCCAGGTACAAACAGCAGCTAGAAACTGTATATATTGGTAGTGAGAGGATACTTTGCTTCTTTCTTTCCTCTGCTTTTCCCATGCACTCAAGTATCAAGTACTTAAATAAGGTCCATGATTTGATCTTAATTTATCTGTCAAATTGTAAAAAAATATTTCTTGAAAGCAAGTGCTATCAGAACACTTAAATTAGGATTAGAAGCATCAAACCCAGTTATTCTTGTATTCGTGTGTGTGTGTGTGTGTGTGTGTGTGTGTACACAGGTGTGCTTACACACATGCACTGAAATCTGCTTCTTATCAAACTTACAGTTTCATCTTAGGAAAAATAATGTGAATGTGTATTAAAAGCCTCTAATGTTAAGATCTTTCAGTCTGGTTATTACATATTTAGGTAATTACTCCAAAGGAGAAATCAGATGTTCAGAAAAAATGCAGGATGTTCAGTGGCAGTGGCTTGAAATAAAGGGGAAAAAATGAGATTGAAACTAGTGTTCAGCTCTGAGGAACAGTTAAGCTCTGGTTCAGAAGTATAAAAGAATCCTATGCATCTGCCAGAATCAATGTCCTTTGAGAATCAAGGGGATGGAAGGAAGTCATCTTCTATTAAGTCTTTTAAATTTTTTTCATTTGTGTGTGTGTACGTGTGCACGCATGCATGTGTACGTGCATGTATGCCAGTACTAGGGCTTGAACTCAGGGCCAGAGCATTCTCCTTTATCTTTTTGGTTCAAGGAGGGTGTTCTACCCCTTGAGCCATAGCTCTACTTCTGGCTTTTTAGTAGTTCATTGCAGAGTAGTCTCACTAATAGACTTTACTGCCTGGGTTGGTATTGAAATCATGATTCTCAGATCCCAACCTCCTGAGTAGCTAGGAATACAGGAATGAGCCACTGGCACTTGGCCCTCTTAAGTCTTTTACATAGGTTTTAAACTGTTTACACTAAGTATGCTTTTGTTTTCACACATAAATAAAATAAAATAATAGAGAATATAAGTATATATACATATGTATATATATATATATATATATATCAGAGGAAATGTAGAATACTAATTTTGCCAATGTAGATGATGAGATTACTGGTTTTTCTTTCATATTTTCTAGATTTTATTTGTACTTTCTAAATTTTATTTGGTGACAATGTGTTATTTAAGCAGGGAAAAGTGTGCATATGTGTGCATGCTACATTTGTGTGCCTGTTACACGTACATGCAGGCTGCATGTACACAAATTATGTTTGCAGAACTATATACCAGTGTTTGGAAAAAATAAAGTGGCTGCGGGAAGGTCACCTCCCTAACCCAGGAGAGCTTTGGCTGGGTTAGGAATGAGGGCACAGAATGAACCAACGCCACTATCACTGTGGGCTCAGGCTGGCCTCTAGGAATAGTTGGCTATGAGCACTACCCCTCCCCTGGCCACTAGGAGGCTGCATTGGCAGGAAGGGGATTGGTTGTTGGAACTGGTCCATCTGTAGAGCAAGATGAAGCAAAACTGAGGGGGTCCTCTATGTTCACATAATTAAGAAATAAGAGCAATCAGAATAGGAATATCTGGGGAGTTAAAATCACTGTGTGAAGCAAAAACATAATAAGCACATTATCTGTTTTATTTTCCAGATATTTTATCCAGAAACAACAGATGTCTATGATCGGAAAAACATACCCAGAATGATATACTGCATTCATGCACTCAGGTGGGAATAGACTAGGACTTAAATACTCCTGAGGAAGTTCATTTAAGTAGAACTAGAATGTCAATTTATGAAAACTCTTGAGTGACTTTTATAAACTGAACAATTTGTTATTACATTCCGTTTTGAGCTTGCTGTTTCAAACAAAATAATTGCCACAGAAAAACCATCTTGAAATCAGGCCCCGGTGGTTCACACTTGTAATCTTAACTACTCAGAAGACTGAGAACTGAGAATCAAGGTTCAAAGCCAGCCTACGTAGGAAAGTATATGAAACTCTTATCTCCAGTTAACCAGGAAAAAGCTGAAAGTAGAGCCATAACTCAGGTGGTAGAGCACTAGTTATGAGTAAAAAAAGCCAAGTAAGAATATGAGTGCCTGAGTTTAAGCCCTAATGCTGGCACACCAAAAAAAAAGGGCACCAAAAAATACAGTTCCAGTTTTTTAAAGTATGATTTAACATAGTAAGCCAGAAAATGAATGAAAGGCCTTTAAAGTAAGGAGAAAAATTAAGTTGAAAATTACAGGTATCCATTATTAATGTGTTACTACATTCTGAAATTATGATCTGATTTACAAATATAGCTTAAGTATCAAATTAGTAACTTAAATCAGTAACTTTGATAGACATTGTGATTTTTCACTTTAATTACTCTTTTTGTATGTGTATATGTGCTGATTGTGGGGCTTGAACTCAAGGCCTAAGCACTGTCCCTGAACTTTTGTGCTAATGGCTAGGGCTATACCACTTGAGTTGGAGCTCCATTTCTAGATTTCTGATGATTAATTGGAGATAGGAGTCTCACAGATTTTCCTGCCTGGTGGGTCATGGGGCTTGAACCCAGGTCTGGGCGTGGTCCCTGAGCTCTTTCCCTCAAAGCTAGCACTCTACCACTTTGGGCCACCCCGCCCTTCCAGTTTTCTGGTGGGTAATGGAGATAAGAGTCTCATGGACATTCCTGCCCATCTGGCTTTGAACTGCAATCCTCAGATCTTTGCCTCCTAAGCAGCTAGGAATACAGATATGAGCTACCAGGGATTGGCTTGCTGTGATTATTCTCAAAATGATCAATGTGTTTTAGTTCAATTAAGATCTAGGGCCAGATATACTTATAAACATAGTTATAAACCCAGTGATTTGGAATGCAGAGGAAGGAACATTGCAGCCAAAGGCATGAGACCATATCTGAAATACAAACTAAAAGGGAAAAGGACTGGAGGCGTGGATTGATTTGGAGAACACGTGTCTAGCAATATGAATGAGGCCCTGGGAATTGTCCTAGTATATGTATGAGAGAGAAGGAGGGAAAGGGAGGGAGAGAAAAGGAAAAAGGGAGGAGAGGAGGGTGGGAGGGAGAGAGCGAAAGAGAGAGAGAGAGAACACAATCCACTGTAACAATAGTTACTTTTGGCTTTCTGTTCAGTAGAACATATACTCTTTAGGAAAAGAACAGAATACAAAAGTTGCTTTATGTTTTTTAAAGACCAATTCATTGTTTTAAGTGATTTTTGATAAAATTCTGTTAGTTCCTCATCTGTTTTTATGTTGTCAGCCCAGAATGGCTGTGATTTCTAGAGGTAACAAAGATGGTTCCAGATGTACAGCTTGTGGCTGGTGCCTGTACTCAGGTAATGGCTGGAAGACTTCATGTCTAATGTAATTTTGAATTCCTTCTACAACATCTGCCTTGTGTTTATATCACTAAAGTCATTTTCCTGGCAGAATTCTCTGCATTTGGGGTTTACATTAACTTCTTCCTGGCTCTTTTCCTCTCCAAAACAAAAGGCTCTATAATAATTCTTTACAAGGCTGGTCTTCTAGAGAAAACTCTTGATTGTATATAATTTGACTTTTTCTCTCCTTCAGTACTTAAGAAACTGTTCAGAATATGAAAGCAAGTAGAAATACAGACCAAATACAGTTGCCTTTGCGAGGATTTTGCTAGCCTAGGGTGGCTTTAAATTCATGACAACCAGCCCAGGCTGGTATAGAACTCAGGATTTTCCTACCTCTGTCTCTGGAGTGTTGAGATGATAGTCATGGTGACTGTACTGGGCTTATATATTTTTTATTCTAATAACTTAGAATTTCTAACTTGGGAGAAACACCCCTTCTGTATTTGCCTTTGAAACCAGCAGGCTTTCTAAAACTGGATGTTTGATTTGGGAGTAACTAAGGTTTGAACTCAGGACTTCACACTTGTTAAGCAGACACTCCTCCATATGAGCCATTACCCTCATCCTTTTTTGTTCATTTGTTTGTTTTTTTGCTTTTTAAAGTTATTAGTTGGATAAAGTCTCAAATTTTTGCCCAGGTATGGGCCCAGACTACTATAATCCTTCTCATTGTGTCTCCCTGTAGCTGGGATTGCAGGCATATACTACCACATTTGGCTCTAAAGCTTTTCATTTCAAGAAATATTTTCAGTCTGGCTTTTCTAATGCTCTTTATCAAATATTTTCCAGGGCTTACAGTAATCACTTAACACTCCCGTTACTACCACATTTGTGACCTGCTAAGCCAGCCCCCATTTATTAATACCATTATCATAGCCATGTATCATAATGCTAGTCTCCAACTCTACAAATGGAGTATTTTAATGTAAGCTTAAATGGATTTTCTGAAGCAGACACCTGGGACATTAGACATTAAGATTATACAGCATATGAAGAAATGGTGTGCTAAGTTCCTTTCTGGTGATATCACTGTTCTAACCACAGACCGGCAGGGAGGTTTACACATGTCTGTTTGCCAGGGTTTTAACAATGGCTTGGATAGCTTAGTAAACAAAGAGCAACTTCTTGCTTATTTTTGCCTCATTATGCACATGTTACTGTGATTTTTTTTGGGGGGAGGATGGTCCCTGATTCTCATTCATCATGGATGTCTCCACTGTAAAAGGAGACGTGTCATGGATCATGCCATTTACCAGATCTGACCGTAATGAGGATGATCTGCCTTTGCCCGCAATGTTTATGTAGTAACTAGCATTCCTTAGGAGATTCTTCATGTTCCTCTGTTCTGCCATATGATATGGCTGCCTGTCAGGATGGAGTGGAGAAATCCCAAGTGCATCTCAAGTTTTCTCTATGCAAACTCTTCCCTGCTGGGCTGTCTCTCACGTGAGGCAGATATTCTGCTCTGTGGACAAGACACTTTGGGAGGCTGGCTGTATAGTTTGCCGGTGATGCTGGAAACGAGCACACATCTCTGGCTATGGTAACCTGGCTTGACTACCACAGCATTGCAGGGGTAGAGTTGTCATTACCTGGGAGAGAATTCGGCAGGTGGGAGATTCTAATTATAGCTCAGGAACCAGGAGAAAAGGGGTCCCCAGGCAGTTAGTCTTGCCAGGCACAACCTTCTTCCTGCCCCAGCCCGTAGGCCCAATTGATCTACAAAGTCAGCTGTCTCTCGGCATTGACCAAACCTGTCTCCTCATCCCAGTCAGCCTGCTTTGGGCTTAGCAACCAAGATCCCCCCTAATTCCTATTCTTCCTTCCTACCGTGTCTGCTTTCCTTTTTCCTGCCCGCTTCTCACTCTGGTATCTTATTTGTTCCTTCACTCCCTTTGTCCATTCTTACCAGTGGCTTTGCCAGGTGAGCTTGGTGGTGCCACCACATCTAGTGCTCAGAGACTCACCTTCTTGGTGGGTGGTCTTATTTTCTTTGCAAGAAAATGTTTATCTTTTTCTTAGGCTCATTGTGGGGAATTTGGAAAGAATGCCAAAGTAAAAGTGAAAACACCCACTATCTCAAAACCACAGAGAAGCCACTGCTACTATTTTGGTGTCTTTGGATTTAAAATCTGTATATGGCTTGTTTTCCTTTCGTGGCTTCTTTTGGAATGTCTGCAGCCTGCACAGTGAAAAAGATCTGGTTCAAGATGTGAGAGCCGTGCTGAAGTGATTATTATACCAGCCTTTTTTCTTTAATGGCCTGAGACTCTTACATATGAAGAAAAATACCTTTTTTATAAAAGTTCCAAGTTTATTAAAGAGGTATAATAAGTGACATCAAACGTCTTTGAAATGTTTAAACATTACTTATAAAGTTAAATATCTCTAAACAGTATCTGTTAATTTTTTTTAAAATCAACATGATTTCCTTCAGACACCTTACAGAGTAGATGAAATAAATGCTGGAATATATTTCCCACACTTTCCCTACTGAGACCTATTCTGAAAAATCTAGACTGCAAGTTTCATTCATATCTTCATTGTGTGTGTGTGTGTGTGTGTGTGTGTGTGTGTGTGTGTGTGTGTGTGTGTGTCCATACTGAAATCAAGGCCTCAGATTCTAACTCTGATTTTTGTTTTTGCTCAAGGCTGGCACTCTACCACTTCAGCCACACCTCCACTCCTGAATTTTTTGCTGCTTAATTGGAGATAAGAACCTCTTGGATTTGTCTGTCCAGGCTGGCTCTGAATAGAGATCCTCAGATCTTAGTCTCCTGAGTAGCTAGGATTATGGGGGTGAACCAACAGCTCCTGGCTTTATGTCTTCCTTAGTACACACTAGTTTTTTTTCTTGTCTTAGGGTTGTTATACCAGTTACTTCCCAGAGCATCATCAGGAACAAAATGGCATCCCTTCATTTAGGCCACCTGGGCTCTTTATCCAAAGCGAGTCAGACCTGCACCACCAACATCGGGCTCAACTTCACTTGTTAAATCAGTCAGATCCTTTTATTATTACTATCATTACTATTATTGTTGTTGTTGTTGTTTTTAAAGTACATGGCTTTGAGGTAGAGATTTTATTTACAGTCCATTCCCTTCCCTTCACCCTGCAGTGATTTATTCCCAAAGCTTTTGCTTGGCCAGTGTTATACAATCCATTGTCCTGTCACTATGATGTATTGGCCTGACCTGTTAACATTATTAAAAGCTTATGGATGCCTTTTTCTTTTCTTTTTTTTTCTTGAAATTAGTTGGATTTTCTAGATGTTTCAGTCTCCCAGGAGACCAAGGATTGACTCTACTCAGTGCTCCTTAGGTCAT